ACAAACTACTACTGTTATTTATAATTATTTACACATATTGTCACCTTTTTCAGACAGGTCTCCTAAAAGCAGAATATCTTCTGTTAAGAACCTACCATGTTTGTTATATTTGTACCCCAGAACTTGGCATGGCTATTAAACTAGATCCTTAATGAATCTATAGTTTACATAATTTCAAGTTAAAGTTTTCTCTAACCTCATAAAAATGTACTTTGATCCTTGGGGGGGGGTGTTAAGATAGACAAGCAATAAAAACAATTAAGATCATGTCTAGACAGAAGAAACATGTAGGTCTGCCTTGCAGACTATAACAGTTTCTAATAGGCTTCAGGCTTACAATTAAGTACCTTCAAATTAATTTAATTAGGAAATTTCCTAATAAAAAATCAAAAGCTACTAGAAGATTTGACATTTGTTGAATGCAGGCTGCTCACAGATTTATTTTGGACTGGTGGTTTTTGTGATTTATCTGTGTACTTGTTTGATTTTGGTATGCTCATAACCTGTACAATTTAGAGTATTTGGTTCTTTACCTTGGAGGTCTTAGAGATCACTTGGAGAATACAGATATGTTCCTTCCATCCATATAGTTATCATCACATACATTAACTTTAAAGGAGTCTAAAACTCTCAAACTAATTCATTTCAAGATTTTAAAAACGTTATTACAGATGGTAGTAACTGGCTTACCTCAAGTTAAAAATGTCTGGCAACAAACAGGAGATACCTTCTTTTTGAGTTGTTGGCCAGTGTGGCCCAAGAGACTCCCAGACAGTAACCCAGGATAGAAAATGGGAAAATGAACAGCAGACTCCAATCTTATCTAAGGGAATATTGGCAACTGATTGCTGCTAAGATGAGGAAGAGCTGATATTCCTAAAACAAGGAACTCTAGATAGGCTGACTAGATTCAGCAGATGGACTGGCACTGGGGAATGGCTGGGGGCACCGACAACACAGTGGACAGTAACAGGGATGACAGAGTATATGGGCTCCAGTGGGGGGAGGGGGGCTACGGAAGGGTGCCATTTGGGATATGGGTATATAGATGAATAAGACTGTTTGGGATGTTCTGTATGAAATTCACACACAAAAAAAACAACAAATAAAAAATGAGTTATATTTGAGGAAGAAGCATAAAAATTTGCTTCATGTTAATGAGGAGAGGTGAAAAACATTCCTACTGAAATCTACCTGATGACTTTATATGCATGCTCAGATGCCAAGGATCTCAGAAAGTAACCACTATGACTAGTAACAATCAGATACATAGAGATTAGAGATGCATGTGCAAACATCTAAATATTAGTAGCATTAAAATGAGTTTTTCACCCATGCCTTTAATTCCAGCACTTGGGAGGTAGAGGCAGGTGGATCTTTGTGAGTTCAAGGCCAGCCTGGTCTACGTAGTGAGTTCCAGGACAGCGGGGCTACAGGGAGACCCTGTCTCAAAAAGACCAAAAAAAAATTCTTTTTTGAAAAAAGAAGGAAAGGTTTATGTGGGCTCCGTATTTTATACTGAGTTCAAAATTTTATAATGGTATTAATTCAACTGTGAACCTAAAACTGCACAACCAATTTTGAAAGAGATGCATCTTTGCTCTGGAAATTGTTATTGAATATGTTAATGCTGTAATGAAATGCTTCTTCTAATTATGTAGTTATTATATAAATAATTTTTTTAAAAGTCTGGCATGATATAGTATATTTATAGTTCTGAGAACACAGTATTTGCCTTTTTTAAAAAAGGGGACAAAATAACGTTTGTTAGAAATTGAGCATTGACAGAAATGATAATTTCCCCATACTAAAGTCAATTTAAAAACACATTAAACACAGCAGCACATGCCATTGATACCATCACTTGGCAGGGGAGGGGGGCGCACTAAGGCAGGAAGACTGTGAGTTTGAAAACAGCTTGGACTGGGAGGCCCTGTCTCAAAGAAGTCTTAATCAAGAAGCTTTTCTTTGTAGTGACGCTGAGAGTAAGAGATGGCTAGGTGTTCAGTTCTAAACAAGATATATCTATACCATCCTAAGGCTCAGAGAGCATCACTGAGGAGGGTTTAGAAAGAGGGTAGAAGCTGGATGACTGGAAGAAGAACTTTGAAATGCCATCTTCTAGGCACGACATAGACACTGTAATCATAAACTCATAGCAGCTGTGGTGGCCTGCTAAGAATGGGCCTGGTCAGCAGTCAGGCACGGGTGAAGGAAGCCCAGTCCTTCCTGGCCGAGCTCCTGGCTTTTGATAGATTCTGGAAGAGGGGGCAGTCACCGCCTTCAGTTGGATATCCACTGTTGAACCCAGCAGGCACCAAACTAATGGTCACATAGATGGCTCCAGTTAAACTCATTGGGTCACAAAATAAAACTAAAAGGCATGTGTGAAAGGGACTTACTGTAAGGAAAAGGGAAGGTGCTAACAGGGGTCGGGGGGAGATAAAGGGGATGAGGTGTTAAGTATATACAGTAACAATGCTGTATATAGGTAGTAAGAATGCAGTATATACAAATTACTAAAGAACAAATTTAATTAATTAAAAAAACAGGAAATAACAATTCTGTCACCCAATAATAAATGTTAAAGGTTAGTGAAGTTATATATCAAATAAAAAAATCGCTAAAAAAATTAATTTTTAATGTTGCATAAAATGTAACTAAATTTCATAATTAACCTTAAAACCTTACTTACTATTCAGTGGGAAAGTGGGATGCATGACAGTAAGATCTTTTCTCCCTCCCACCTCGAACGGTGGCACATACCTTTAATCCCAGCACTCAGGAGTCAGAGGCAGGAGGGTCTCTGTGAGATAAGAGGCCAGCCTGGGATGTAGTACACAATGAGTTCTAGAACAGCTACGGCTATAGTGAGACCCTGTCTCAAACAACAACAACAAAAACCTTTCCCCCACTCATTTCAAATTCTAAGATGTAATAAAAATAAATATCTACGAAATTTTATTATGACGTTCTTTAAGAAATGTATTAATAATGGGGCCAGTGAGATGGCTGTTAAGGGTGCCTCCTGCCAAGTGTGACAACCTGAGTTTGATGCTGAGACTCACATAGTGGAAGGAGAGAACCATTTACCTACATACACATACACACACACAGACACACACACACACCATGGCATGCACACCCACATTCATGTATACTACCACTCCCCCAGCACAAATAATAAACAGAAAAAAAAAGAAAAAAAGAAAAAAGAAAATTGATGATAGGCTCAGCCAGTAAAAGTACTAGCCACCAAGCCTGAAAACCTGAGAGAACGGATTCTCTCTGGAAAGTTGTCCTCTAACATCACAGTGTGGGACATGCATACCCATAGACACACATAGACACACACACGTGCACACACACATACAGACACACACACAATTTAAAAAAAAAACACCAATTTTCAAAGATAAAAATCCTTAAAATAAATGAATTGAGATT